TCAAATAATGTTCACAAAACATTATAAAAATTATCAAAACGTTCGAACAAAAAGTCCTAATTTTTTTTTTATATATAGCAAAAAGCTTTGCAAATTTGCATATTCAAATGTAAATAACAAAACAATAACACAATGATCATAGTTTACAAGGTAATGAAAGTTAAAGTTATATGCAATATGCATCAATTGGTATAAACCAAATAATTGTTTTTAAGTCGAGTAAATTCTAAGAAATTTGCATGTGCAAAATACTAAATTAACATACAAAAGTAGTTAATATTATGTGATGCATCACTACAGACGTATATAGAACATTTCAAATATGAAATAAAGTTCAAAAGATATAGTTAAATGAAAAGTTAATATTAACACGAACCATCCAAAAATTTATGTATCAAAATTCAAGTACAAAAGTTATATTATATCACAAATGTAATAATAAAGATTACAAACAACCAGACAAGACTACTATTATAGGTACAAAATGAGATGGATTGCATAAACCAAGTCCCTGTGCGCTGGCGTCAATTGTAATATTAAAAAATAATAAATTTTGAAATGGACAGGCCGAAATCAATTAAAAAAGAATATTCGGGCGCCTGGACTGTACCATCATTATTAGCCGGGAGAACATTGGAATATTAATCGCAAAGGGGGCTTAATGCAAATCCATATTTATTTTGGGTTGTCTATATATTGAAATTTTAAGTCCAAAATTACTTAAGTCCAAAAGGGTTAAATCTAAATTTAGAAACTATTATATACTGTGATGCTACTAAGAATTAAATGAAAATTTACCTTATTATTAGAATGTTACCGACCTCGCTGCATCTGATCTGGGTAGTATATGTCTGGTGTTGTAAATATGTAGGGGATGGCCGTTTTTAGATCCCGTGGGTTCACCTCCACCTCATGGGAAATGTCGTAATTTGAACAAAATATCCAAATGAAAAATCCAAATAAAAAAAAAACGCTTTTCGCTGAAAACAAACATTCCTCAGATTAGCACATGGCTCACAACAAAGGAAAAAAATGTAAATCTAAGGAAATCACTAAGGTTCTTACCGTTTTACTAACAAATTAAGCTTGAGGTATGGCCATCGCCATTTTGTACGAATGATGCAAAATGTTTCATCTGAAAACAAAATTAATCCTCATGTAAATCATTGAAATATATGAATTAAAACACTTTTAGAATTTGGAAAAACACTTACCATTAAAAACTATCAATAATATAAGGGGTTATCAATTAAAAAAATTGGAATACGAAATGACCATCCTTTGGTCTAAAAATTACGTCGTGAAGTAAAGTGACAGTTTTTTTTCTTAAGTTTGTTTTCTCTTGCCGGTAGGCAAAGAGAACAACGTCCATTCAGCCTACTGCTTGATAAAGTTAGCAACATAATTATTCAATAGTGCACAGATTACAGAAAATGGGCGCGAGATAAAAACGACCTGAGAGACAACCAAAAAAAAATCTTCTATCTCGCTCTTCGAGCGAAGGAGATCCATGTGACGTTTTTAACACGTTACAATAGGTGGTTAATTTTTCCAGGTCTTCATTTATCAGTGGCAAGAGTATAAAAATTACCACATCTTTGGAAAACCTGTAGCGTCGTCTAAATTCTTCTGAACTGTAATAATCAAAAGGATTTTGGAAATTCGTATCACCCTTCTGGTTCTTATTCTGTTTTTATCATTGATATAATTATCAAATTCTTCTTCACTACTGTAAACCATTGTAAAAGAACGCTATTATTTTCGAATACAGCCGCAAACAAAGAAAAAACAAAACCTCGAACAGCAAATAACAGTCAACGCAAATAACCTAAAATTTTTGACGAAGTCAAAAAGAAAAGAACAATAGGCACTTTGCGTTGCGTAATACAGCTAGCAGGCTACCTTGGCTGTGCGTTCATTATGAGGGACGCATGGTGGCGGTCGCCACTCAAGTGTTGTCTATGAATAGGTTTTTCGGGCCCTGTGCTAACGCACCCCGTGAAACCTCATAGTAATGTTTATGAATACGGGTGTAAGCCTCCTTACAACCTCCCGCGGTGGAGTGGTATTTATGTAGACGTTGGTTTTCAAGGTATCGTCTACTTCTGTGGTCCGGGTTCGAATCCCAGTAGTGATAAATTGTAAGATATGAGCATTTGTACCTACTTAAAATATACAGATCGCGCCAAACTTCTGCTCTGAAATTGCCTGTAGTGAGAGAGCTACTGAACCCTCCGAGTAACGATCTGTCTGTAAGGCTAGAAATTCTCATGGTGATGAGTCATAGCATGCTTAGTACGATGCTTACCGAAGCATCGCCTAGCACTCCTCAGCCCTGCACCATCAAGCCGTATATTTTTAAGTGTCAAAAAATTATTAAATAAAAACTTGTAGCTGTAAACTTGAAATTTTTATAAAATTTATATTTAATAATTTTTAAGTTTAAAAATAAATTGCCAGGCGTTTACAATGAGCACAAGTACCCGCCAGGCGAACCGGAAGGTGTGTAATATATATATACATAAAAATAAACGTTATTCTGTAAAGTTGAAATTTTTATAATATTTACAGGGACAGCTGTCCCAGCGAACTTCGTACCGCCATAAAAAATGGGGGTTGGTGGGAGAAGGGTGAAAATTTGGGGTTGTATGTATTTTTGTATGATGTATCATAAAAAAATAAAAAAAAAATATCTAAAATTAAAAAAAAAATAGGGGTGGATTACCCTTAACATTTAGGGCGATGAAAAATAGATGTTGCCTGATTCTCAGACCTACCCAATATGCACACAAAATTTCATGAGAATCGGGAAAGCCGTTTCGGAGGAGTTTAACCACAAACACCGGGACACGAGAATTTTATATATAAGATATACATATTATGTGTTTATTTAAGCGATTTAAAACAAGTAGGTAGAATGCCAGGCGGTTCTGTCCTTGCCAGCCGAGTGGAAAGATGCTGCGGCAGTGCGAGTAAGAGTCGTCTGTCTGTCTGTAGTGTCATATTATTTGTATTTAGTTTAACTAGGTAAAGTTTTATTATAGTTTTATTTGCGATTTAAATTAAGTAGAATGACAGGCGGTTCTGGCTAGCATAAGTCCTTGCCTCGTGAGGGGAAGATGCTATGGAAGTGCGAGTATGCGGCTCAACGTGAACTCGGTGGTGCGATTGAGACAGTTTATCTAACTGGAAAATAGGTCTAACACCTGAAAAAAGACCACCAGAGGTAACAACGATTTATCTATGTAAAATCTTATGCAGAATTTCACTGTTTTATATTGTGAAGTATTGTAATGATTTAAATTTCAATTAAATATTAATATTAATTGTGCAGTTATTCTTGTGTACGTCAGTTGTGCCAACAATTATTCATATTTAAGTAAATAGTGAGTAAAATAGAATCTGATTTGCAAACAAGATATTGATGACAAAACTGTAAAATTTACAAAAAGTACTTTAGACAAAAGCAAATCAATATTAAAAATTAGAAAACAACATAATTTAAAATTTAATGATATTTCTTTGCCAGAGGAAGTTCATGATAATACAGGTTATCATATGAAGTGTTACAAAAACTTTCTTGCTGTAATGAAAAAATATTGCCCGAACAAAACATTGGCTTCAACTTTACAGAACTAAGTTTATTTTTATGTATATGTTACACACCTTCCCCTTCGTCTGGCAGGTACTTGTGCTCATCGTAAACGCCAATTTTTTTTTAAATTAAAAATGAATAAACTATTTTTCTATAAAAGTTTCAAGCTTACAGCAACAAGTTTTTTTTAAATATTTTTTTGACGCTTTCTAAAATATACGGCTTGATAACGTGCAGAGCTGAGGAGTGCCACGCGATACTAATACATACTAAGCATGCTATGACTCATCACCATAAGGATTTCTAGCCTTACAGACAGACTGTTAATTGGAGGGTTCAGTAGCTCTTGGTCTACTGGTGCAGGTGTACAGTCATATAGACAATTTTCGGCTTGGCCCTCCTATATTGGATGTGTTTTTTGTTTCGCAGGGAACTAGAAAATTGGCGCGATTCTGAACTAATTGATCCATTATCCTCGTTATCTTGTATATCCTCCAACTGTAATCATTATTGATTGCTCCCTCAAATACACTCCTGTCACTTGTATTACCCCTTTTGATACTTTTAGAGGTGAATAATTGCTATAAATATTATTTGTAAGGAGCCAAGTACCTATTTTATACCTACTTGTAACTAATCTATTGAGATTTAATGTTTAAAACATTAAATTGGTATTTTTATACGCCTAGTAAGTTACTCTATGAATTAATGTAATGTAATGTGTAATACTTTATAAAGTTATGAAATGTAAAAATTTCTACCTATTTTATAATTTGGTTTTAAAACTTATTTTATACCAGCTACTAATATTAATCTAAACTACTTAGCTATTTGAAGAACCAAAATATATTTAAGTGAACACTGAGAGTGAACATAAAACATTTTTTTTATGAAATACATCATTTTGAGGTTACTTTTAAGTCAAAATGTATTGGATAGTTGGGCAATGTAAACAATACAATGTACTAGTAAGAACTTTGGTATAACTACCAAATATGTACCTAATACTCACTTACATTATAAAGTTAAATATAGTGTTATTCCTCACCATAAATAAATAATTGACGATTAAAACCCGACAAGTATCTTTCGTGATTACTAAACGAATGCACGTACACTTTATTAATGTGTTTATAGTATTATAGTGATGTCGATTCTGGCATAATTCTCTAAAGCTAAACTTAAATTTGACAACAGTGCATCCTTGTCCTTCTCTATACAGAATGAAAAGGTGAGACTGATATTAAATTTAGTTTTAAGTTTAGAGAATCACGCCAGAATTGACACCAGTGTATGACGATGCTAGTCTTTAACAATGTACTTACTCTATGTGCTAGTCATTTTAAGCGTTACCTTCATACATGTGGGTTTTACTCAATGAAGTTAAAAATTCATGTTATTTTACCTTTTAAGCTTCCTTTGTTAATGAAAATGAAAAATATTTATTCTGTAACTAAATTAAATTAAAAAAGTTATTGAAGCACTCTTTTAGGTCAACAGTGTTGCCAAGTCTGATGTTTAAAGGGAGCTAGATCATATCTAAAAAAAAGCTTAAAAAAGAGCTAGATTTTTTTAGAAAAAGAGCTAACTTATTTTTATGTACTATTTATTAAAAATCAATATGAACAGCGTTTGTTATGGATTCGAGACCACTTTTCTTTATTTCGGCTAATGTTAGAAAGGTCGAAACTACAGTTTGTCTATAAAGTCGTGACATGAATGTTTGAGGAACTAACATTATTCATGTGTCTGGCAACACCAAACTTATGTACATCAGCTGTCATCGAGATTCAGTTGTGGAACAGTTTTCCTTTTGTATTTTTTATTGTTTGGAATAAACTGTAATAAATTAAGACGAAACTACGCAGAAAGGTATAAAAATGAGTAAAGTAAATCGGAGTGGCACGCGGGAAGTGATTTTTAAAGTTTTCGAGCGATGTTTCGAAGACTACCAAGCTGGACGAATTTTGTGGGATTTGGATGATGTTTAAGGGCGAACAGCATCTATGACGGGTGTGTAATCGTGTAACTATTTGTTTGTAATCTGCTTGAAGTTACAAATTTACTCAATTTACGATTTTGAGACCAAAAAAGGCATTGTTTACATTGCACATTTTTAGGTTAGATTGACATTGTAAATAGGTAATATACGACCATTGCTTTTGATACGTTATTATGGTTCAACTCGGTCAGGTTTTCTACCAATTTTGAATTAATTGCTTCATGTCAATAAGTTATTGTTTCTATTCCGTTACATATTTTTTTACTTTTTTTCAGAAAAATCAGAGAGTACAGTTATGCGGATAGTCAACGAAGGTTTTAAGAATGATTGAAAGTTGGAAACTCCTGGGAAAACAGGCAAGGCCGACCAAAGAAAGAAATGGTCACATAAAGAACCATGGCCAGATGCTTTTAGTGAAGATACCTATTACTAATTTTACTAACTTACAAATTGTTTCTCTGAATAAACTTTTTATAAACTATAAAATGATTTTTGGTATTATTTTCTTAACAAGTGTGTTAAAAAACGTCGTATGATGAATCTTGTGTGTATTAATGATTACCTAACGGCTCTGGTCTCAATGGCACCTCAGCGGTAATCACCAACATTACACAGTTTTACACTATAAAGTACTATTTTATCTATAATAATTTTATTCTGAATCAATTAAATATGCTTGGCTAAATTTTTAAAAGCCTACCTATACCTACTATATATAAAACAGAAACAAAATACGACTGTATAGTGTGTCTTATTAATTACCTATTTTACTTGAATGAACTGCTAGTATCAAAATCATTTTGGTCCGACTGTATAACGTTGCTATTTAGCATACTAGTGGCGCCATCATTTAATGTCACGACTTTATAGACAAACTGTATTTCAAATATTTTTGCTGTAATACTGCACTACGATACCGAGCAGTTTAGTAATACTGATATCAGTCTCATTCAATAACAAACTAAATGGTCCATCGCATATATCTCTTTTTAATTAGGTTATAAAATGCGGACTTAGAACATTCTTTATGATTGAAGCACCACGTTCCGTAATGTCGAGGTCCGGCCGATCTATTCGTGTACCGCGCCGATATACTTAACTTATCTATGAAAACGTCTTTGATAGACAGATGTCTTAATATTAGAAAAATAATCTTTTTGCCGTAAAAATGATTGTTAGAGAATATGTTGATTTTGTTAAGAAAGCGCTGTTTGTTTGTGAATTATAAAACATTAAAGTGATTAAGAAGAATAGCGTGTTTTTTGTGTCATCAACGACTTTACGACATTCACGTTATAAATGGCTACCCAACGTGGGGCTCGAACAATCTATTTGTTGTGAAAATATATTACGATACTGCGCCTCCTTCACAAAACGGATGATACTTGTGTTCTAACGTTTGTTCAGCGTTTTTCCGAGTTCACAAGACTCGACGCGACGTTTATGTATCACCTATATGTCTACTAGTGAGGTGCTCAACATTTTGTTAGGTATCGTTTTACATATTGAACTGTTTTACAAATTGAACAAAATATTTGTGAGTGGACTAGTAGTGTGTTTCTGAAAAACCCAATATGGTGCTAACACGCTCAGGTTCTGGCGAAAACGGCGGTCAACAGATGCCATTAACAGAAAATATCACAGCGCACACATTGGATTCTGGCCTGGCCCAAATGTCGCCGGATACCTCACCTTCGCCTGCTGCGGGCGCAAGCGGCTCCCCCACATCTACAGTGCAGTCTCAAGCCACACCAATGATCATGACTGACCAACAGCTGAGTTACCTTTTACAGTCTTTGCGAACTCCACAAATGTTCACTCCAACACTATCAAATTTTGCAAACTGTACAGCTCGTTTTGATGGGTCTGGTAATGTTGAACCCTTTATTGATTCCATCACTATTTATAAACAGTGTGTGAACATGCAAGATAATATTGCATTACAAGGCTTGCCAATGCTACTTACTGGTTTTGCTGCCACATGGTACCAAGGCATCAAACACACTGTTGATTCATGGCAGGAGGCTCTTGTGATTATAAAACAAATGTTCGGAGCACATATTCCACCCCATAAAATATATAGAAAAATATTTGAAAGAGAGCAAGGAGAGGAGAATACAGATGTATTTGTGTGTAAACTCAGAGCTCTGTTTGCACAACTACCCTCAAATTCTTTGTCTGTAGAGGTACAGTTGGATATGTGTTATGGTTTGTTACATAGACGAATCAGAGAGAAGGTCAGCAGAAATTCCTTCAATACCTTTGAACAATTGTTGGAATCCACTCGCCGAGTTGAAGACTTGCTAGAGGAGACACTTCCAAGGGTTAAGAGGTCATCTTCTGATGTGTACAGATTAAACTCTAACAGTGATATAAAGACTACTTCTCCGGCTATTTCGGCAACAAAAGCTTCCACCAATGAAGCATTCTCCCCTTCGGTTGCTGACTATGAAAGAAAATTCCGTCCCCGCTGCATATATTGTAAACAATATGGACATAAGCGAGAACAGTGCCGCAAGTTATTAGGAAAGGAGGATGTCCAGATGCTATCACAGAGCAAAGCGGTCTCAAATGATCACAGCACTATTGTATGCTTTGGATGTGGTACGCCAGGAGTTATCAGGTCTAACTGCACCAAATGTAAAAGTAAGGGTGAGTCAACATCATCTACAGAATTTCAATCTATACAATTATGTAGTACTTTGGTTGATGCTCGTCCCCGACCATTATTAAAGATAAGTATTCATAGTATTACTGGTCATGTTTTAATTGACACAGGAGCTAAAATGTCTATTGCTAGCGAAAGCCTCAATAATGTATTAGTTAAAAATAATCACCGAATGACCAATTCTGTTGTAAAAATGAAATTAGCTGATGGCTCTATTTGTAAACAAAATGTCAGAATATGTACTGTAAATGTTACTGTGTGTGGAATTGTTGTCCCTACTGTTTTTATTGTATTACCTGGAGCCACTGATACATTATTAGGTATGAATTTTATATGTGATGCGGGCATGGTGCTTGATCTTAAATTTAATTGGTTTTCATTAAAGTCCAATAAAGATGTGTACTACCCTTTAGAGTTGGAAGGCAGCAAAGACAGTCTGGGCTGTTCAGTCGCAGGGCTACGTGATGACGAGGGTACCACACTATCCCTTTCGGAACGACAGAAACTTTCTGTAGTATTAGTGGAAAACGCCGACATCTTTGCACCAGGGGGAGCACCCACCTCGTTCGCAGTACATCGCATCGATACTGGAGACAGCGCACCAGTGGCTGTGCCTCCTTATAGATTAACCCCTGCCAAGAAAGAGATTATGGGCAATGAAATTAATAAGATGCTGGAACAGGAGGTTATAGAAGAGGCTGAATCTGAATGGGCGTCGCCAGTAGTTTTAGTTCCCAAGAAGAATGGGGAGATGCGCTTCTGCGTTGATTACCGAAAGCTCAACGCCGTCACCCGGACAGACAAGTACCCCCTCCCGGTTATAGATGACCTCCTGTTTTCAACCAAGACTAATTGTGTGATGTCTACCTTAGATTTAAGGGCAGGCTACTGGCAGGTAATTGTTGCGCCAGAAGATCGCCCCAAAACAGCCTTCACCACACCCTTCGGAACGTTTCAATTTCGTCGGATGCCGTTTGGCTTAAAGAACAGTCCGTCGACGTTCCAGCGCCTTATGGATAGGTTCAGATCCGGGCTCAAGGACGTGTGCTGCGTGGCATATTTAGATGACATTTTGGTTGTGTCTGACTGCCTCGAATCCCACGTGCAGGACCTACGAAAAGTGTTTGAGAGATTACGTCTTTTTGGTCTTAGGGCGAACCGAGATAAATGTCAATTCGCTCGAGATAAAATAACCTATTTAGGTCATGTTATATCTCCACAGGGTATCCAGGCTGATCCCGACAAAGTAAAGGTTATACGGCAAATGGCGCCACACACAACAGGTTTGTAAAAACGATTTTAAAGAAATAAAATCGTTTTTACAAACCTGTTCCTGGTTTAGGAAGTTTATCCCTAGGTTTGCCGATGTAGCACGGCCTCTTACCATGCTTACGCGAAAGAACGTCCCCTGGAGTTGGAGTGGACCTCAGAATGAAGCGTTTGCTGCCCTGAAAGAGAAACTCACCTCTGCTCCAATCCTTCGTCAGCCTGATTTCGCGGTTCCATTCGTCATACGTACTGATGCCAGCGCCTTTGCTTTGGGCGCAGTCTTGATGCAAGGATCTGATGTTCATAATGAACGGCCAATTGAGTATGCCAGTCGATTATTGACTTCAGCGGAACTAAATTACTCCACCACCGAGCGCGAAGCATTAGCGGTTATTTGGGCGTTAGACAAGTTCAGGGGATATGTGGAGGGTTCCCCGATTAAGGTTATTACCGATCATCAACCCTTGCGGTGGTTGATGTCCCTCAAAACACCCAGCGGTCGTTTAGCACGGTGGGCAATGAAGGTACAATCTTACAATATCGATTGGGAATACACACCGGGAA